GATCAGCGGCTCCCGTATTGACCGAAAGTAACAGTATTCTTACAAATCATGGCTTATATAGCCATGCTTAAAACTAGCTTATGATTATGTACATTTACTATTTATATGTGTTGGCGGTTTCACAATCCAAGCATATATTATGAGCTTAAGTATGCTGGTGCCAGCCAAATTTGGCTCATAAGCTATGACTTGATTGTTGGTCTTATGCTATTGCTTATGTTGGCTGGCTAGTGTCAATGCACCTGTAATTCGTGCAGACTATGGTGCCAATATTATCTATCTATATATTATCTTTGAGAACAGTTGCATGTGTCGATTTGTGGCGACCGGTAGTGCCGTTTAAGCAATATTTCTACTGGCCAAGTGCGTTGCTGACCTTCCAATATCACGATAGCAATTAGTATGCATGCGTACATCGCAAGTGCTATCGCTATATGTATGCATTTTGAGAGTGTTGCGTCAGTATTTAGCCGGCGGTTGGTGTTGTGCATTGACTTACCTATTCCAGAAGAAAATTCTTTGAAGCTTGTTCTTCTACTAATTCTTGTGAGTGTTTGGGGAAAGTAAGCTGGTATGTATGTATAGGTGTCATTGTGTTAAATCTTTGATTACTTATATTAATTCCGATAGCTGATGCGGATTGTTTGTTTTCTCGGTCTGGAACGTGATACCGATTTCATGGTTGCGGTGTAGGCCAGATTGGAGGCGGTATTGGTATTGCTCAGTGGCTGATGTCGGAGCCACAACTTGATCGAGATGATCAGGCTTACGTAGGTGCCAATGGTGGCGATGACTGATACTAAGTGGAACTGGCTTTATGTCTTCAAGTAGTGTATTTGCCAGAATGGTGAGTTGTGCTTGCTGCATCAACATGGTAACTTGGTCTGTACTTTGCGTTATTCGTTGTGACTGCTTACTAAACCTCGATTGCCTTTTAGGTTCTTCTTTGTCGATGGATACACAGGTCGGATATGCTTCTAGTACTTGCGACGTAAATGTAGGGTGCTCCGGTAGGAAGTAATGTGAACTGGTTAGTGACAATGCAGGGTCAATGGGGGTGATAGATGTTGTCTTCAAGTTTATGAACTGCCAGTCAAACGCCTTGTAGTCAGCTTCTCCGTTGCTGATTTCATTTACCTGCGTCCGAATTGCTTCTAGCCATGCATTGCTGTCAATTTCGTTCTGTTGTGCAATGTTCAGCGTGCTGTCTTGAATCAAGGCTTGCCTTCAGTCCGCGTCTTTCATGTGATTTTTCTACAGCATAATCTGGATGATGGGCTTAGCCATGGGTACCGTATACATTGTGTCCCGCTCTTCAAATAGCCCGGTGGTAATTTTTCCATCGATCTCTTGTTCGGATCTGCGTTGCCTGCCTCCTTTTATAGGTGCCTTCTTGTGCCGGAGGGCATCCATTTCATGTGGGTGGAGTACGAGAAGCGACTTACATAAGTGGCATTTGTGCGAAGTGTCCTTACATAACCGCTGTAACATTTCAATGCCTTGCATGGCAATCTTCATGTCTTGCCATAACGGTTACAGTTCATAGCAGCTAACGAATTTCCATTGGGACACTGCTGTGGCCGTTCTTGACAATAAAGTCCAGGGGCATTTGGAAGCTGAGTATCGTTGACGCTGGGATGCTTGGCTGACGCAGTAGTATAAAGGCTACCAACAGCATTACGTTGATCCATCTTATGGGTGATAAACTGATTGATGCGGTCAGTCTGACTCTCATGTTGTCATCCTTTGCAGGTTCATTATTGGTCGATTTCGGTCTTGATTTGCGACGGCTCCTGGTAGAGCGATCCACGTTATTTAGGATGCGTGGCTCATAGATTCGGTTAGGGATGGTTAGTGGAGATATCATTCATTCTGTAGTACTGCTCTGAATGTTCTGCTACTGTGACATCCTGTCCTGATTGACCCTTTGTAACAGCCCCAACGCAGACTGTCTTGGATGGTTCCCGCACATTTACTGGTCCCAACACAATCCATCCGAGCGCAATACTTTGTAATATGGGTTGGCCAATTCCTAGTGGTATCTGATGAGGGTGCATCAGACGGTGGTAAAATTCGGCTTCAATCAACAAGTCAATTTCAGTGGACCGGTAGAACTCAGGATCAGCTAACTCTATACCCATCGGAATTTATACTTCATCTCTGGTGATCGTCGTCGACGGTTGGTCTGGCACAATTGTGTTTAGAACCAGAGCTTTTACTTGCATGTCATGCTTGCAGTTTGCCTAAGACACCTGCAGACATACCTGCCCTCTTGTCTGTGTCGGTCGTACCAACCACTCCTGCACCAGGAGCTAAAACGCTCTCAACTTATGTTGAGGTAGCAGAATAATATGTGTCTTATTCTTGCTTATTACTATTGCTTATATTGGCTGGCTAGTGTCAATGCACCTGTAATTCGTGCAGACTATGGTGCCAATATTATCTATGCTAAAACAATATGGGTGTACATGTTTATGTGTACTTATGATATGTGTTGCCAAGCTATTTTATTGAATGCTTGTTTGCGTCGCGCTGATGAGATGTCATATACTCATTCGCGTCGCAACATCAATAACTATCTATATAGTTGTATATAATATATATTTATATCATAAAATGGCAAAATGTTGAAAGCACCGTTAAGTTTTGGTTGGAAGTAAAATCATATATGGACTCAGCAGGCAATTATAAATTTTTATACATAAAATGTACAGAAGTATATTAGGTTTGCGGGAGCTGAAAAATGTAACAGGCAGAAGGAGGCGTGGCAGACCCCACAAAGTATATATATTCTTGATCAGCATGACAAGACGAGTCGATCTAGGCCTGTATGTCTGTCTGTCCGTCTGTCCGTATGAACACCTGGATCTCAGAAACTATAAGAGCTAGAGACACCAAATTTTGCACAAAGATGCATGTACGCGGTTTGTTTTACTTTATTGATTTTCCCCCCCACTTCCCCCCTATGGGAGTTTTCCCGATTTTCTATTCGTATAATCGCCTATATCTAAGAGACTATAAGACCTAGGGACACCAAATTTTAGTTCAAGATGCCTTATGTGAATACGCAGAAAATATGTATTTTGGAATTTTCCTCCCTCCCCCCTCTCCAACGCAAATCGCGTTTGGAAATACCCCCAGTTAGTAATTATGTGTCCGTACGCCAAGTTTCATCATGATAGACCGATTTAACAAGAAATTATAGCCATAAAAATATTTGCTGCTGAAGCGCTGCTCAAGCGCTGCCCAAGCGCTGCCCGCTGCTGTTGTTGATGTTGCTGTTTGGTTGACTGCGAAAATGCTTACACAGACACGAATAGACGCGCATAAACATACATACACTCACATAGCCGCAATTGCTTTGCATATGTGCAATTATACGTTTACGTGAGTTCGAATACCAAAAGAGGTAAAATCGATCAATTTTTTTTTTTATTTCTCTTACTTTTTTAATTTCTATAATTATTCTAAACATATGTACAGAGTATTTCAAAGTCGGGACACCCGACTTTAGCTTTTTTTTTACAAAGAATTGGCATTCTTTGTTGTCATTACCTTGATCAAATGCCGAAGTTAAGCATGTGCTCAGCCAAATGTGGACGTTGAATGCAATCTTGTCCATCAGGTAACATTTAGATATTACTACATACTTGTATAAGTAGATATGTATTTAATTAATTATAACCATTTACTACATTCGGGTTACGTGCATTCAATACGTATAAACTTTCAGAAAAATATCTTAAAATGATAGGCCCAAATGCGTGAAACGACAATGACGCAGACGTCAATAATTGACGAATTAATAATAATAATAATTAATTTCTAATTAATTAATAATTTCTAACGACAAGAAAAGGCAAAATTAATATGAAACAAGGTAGAACGCTACAGTCGAGCAAGCCCGACAGTAAAATACCCTGTACTCTCCATCAAAGCTGCAGGCAGCGCATGAGCAGCGATTTTACTTTCTTCAGAATTGACCTATCATGATTTGGCACATGGACATATAAGCACTAACTGGATGTAACTACCAAAATTGATTTCAAAATTCCAAGAATTACGGAAGTTATAAGAAAAAACACGAATTTCGGGGGAGTGGGGGGGTGTATCAAAATAAAATAAAATAAAAAATAAAATAAAAAAAACAAACTTGACCTGCCTAGGGCTTAGAGGAACCTGGATGCCAAGTTTGGTAATTCTAGCTCTTGTGCCTTCTGAGATCCTTGCGCTCATACAGACGGACGGACGGACAGACGGACGGACGGACATGGCTATATCGACTCGGCTTGTCACCCTGATCAATAATATATATACTTTGTGGGGTCTGCCACGCCTCCTTCTGTGTGTTACATACATGCGCACAAAACTAGTATAGCCTTTCACCCTTTGGGTACAGGCTATAAAAATTAGCTGTCCTGTTTTTCTGTCCTTTTTAAATTTTTCTATCCCTTTTTTCCACTTTTTTATATTTGTCGTTATTTTGTGGTGAGGTGCTGGCCACACTGGAGTGAGTACATGGTATTTCACTGTCGGGCTTGACCGACTGTAGCGTTCTCTCTTGTTTTAATTTAATTTATTTACTTTTAAGACTAACATGGTCACAGTTCCTATGCAAATGTGCAGGTATACACCCTTTAGGTGAGTTTGAATACCAAATAAGGTAAAAATTTGTGTCTTTATTTTTAAAATGTCTATCATTTTTCTACACATATGTATAGAGAATTTCAAATTCGGTACACTTGACTTCAACTTTTCCACTTGTTTATTTTTAAATAAAATTTATTAAATTAAATAGTCATGCGTGCATACATATAACGGATCTGTGTGCCACATTTCGTGTCTTTAGCTCATATCGGAGTCTCGGAGATCTATAAGTATGATGGACCAACGGAAAGTCAGTAATAGCGGTGGAGTAGTAAGGAGAGGGAAAATAATCATCCCCTTACTGTTCTTATAGTTGTTATATGAATGCGCTTCCATTAAATATGTTTTCGCAGATTATACTGGAGCGCAAGTGGGCACGTAACACCCACGCCAAACATTTTCCCGGTGAATCCTTACACGCACGGTTGGGTGTGATGATTGGTGCTTCTCACAGCTTTAATTATCGCTATTGGACGTATGGAGGACGAGCCAGCCAAGGTCTCCGAGCATTAGCCGAGCACGGAGCGACACGTGCCCTTGAGCAAGAAATACGAGCAAAAGCGCAGGTTAATATACATAAATTGCATTATATATAAAATTGGAGTATACATGCTGAAGGTATTTGCAGAATGGTCATGTACGGACCATTATTAAAGCACCAGGAGTCTCGAATCGCTTGAGCACAGGTATAACGCTTGCAAATGCGCGAGTTGACTCCCAGCATCATCAAATATCAGTGGTATCTAAAATTGATCCATCTCCGGATTGGATAATAGGCGTAGCTGGTCTTGAACTATGTCTAAGTAACTGTACCTGGGTGGAACGCAAGGAATTGAACTTATATCCCTGGGATATAGGCACGGATTCGGGTCCTAGCTATGTGGTGTGTAGCAGAGCCTACCCTCTCTTAACCTTGAGTAATAAAAACTTGCACCTTATTTTTTAGTCTGCTGATCAGCCACAGGTACCACCTGATGTCATACGACGCATCACATCATCCCATCCAAATGACTATCGGTCGCCTTTTTTTGACGAAACCGGTGCACCAATGAAACCGCTTGCCAGGCTCTACTTGATTCGTAAAAAGTTGTACACTAAAGAATGCAATTTTGGTAAGTTTTTTCAATGTGTAATAAGACTCACCTTAGAAACTTAGTCCGAATTTTCAGTGTCACCTGGAAAACCATTAGAGTGCGCTACACATCCATGGAGTGCATGGAGTAATTGCAGCATGCTCTGCGGACCAGGTTTCACGAGGCGAGTACGAAGTTACAAGAGCCCTGCACTGGCTGCCAATTACAACTGCACAGATGTTACCTTAGAAGAAGTACATCAGTGCCAAGGCAATAACTGCGGTAAGAAGTTTGAAGATGTGGACTATGATAGAATCGAAGGTGTGGCTGCTGAATGCGAGTTAACAATTTGGAGTAACTGGTCATCCTGCTCCAAGTCATGTGGAAAGGGCTTCACTACGCGCACGCGAGACTTTCGGAATGCACACGCCCGGGCCAATTGTTTGGTGGGTGTGACCCTCCCATTAATGGAAAAAATGGAATGCACCGGTACTAAATGTGGAGGAACTATACCGGGCAACTTCTATGTCCCCGACTATATGAATAACCTCCCTGAGCAACAACTATTTGAAAAGGCTATAGAGGCAGGATATGAGGGCATTGAAAGTACGAATAAATACAATACAAATTTGGAGAGACCGCAATTTGAAACACATAGTAGTTCTCAAGCGAAGCCATTTGCCGGCAATTTACCAAAGCACACAAGTTATAATGATTTTGACCTTGTTGCGCCGAGCCAATATCCGCCGACCAGTACAATACCAGAACTTGTTGATGAGTTTAAAGGACTTACTGTCAGTGGTGTTGATGCCACTCCATACAATATAGTACAAGACTATTGCTTCGCGAAACCATTCGCTGCCACAAGACCCTGTATGGCGGATCCATTGATTGTACGAAACTACTGGTTTTACGATCACGAAGATCATGAATGTAAAATCTTCACAACTGATAATTGCGATGAAAATCAAAATCGTTTTCGAACTGTGGAGGCATGTGAGGGTACATGTCTATACCCACTAACAAACCGGGAACTGGTTGAGGATGCATCCCTGACTGCGAAAGATAGGTTCAACCGCCATTTAATTAAATCAAAATTTAATTAAAAAATATAAAATTCTAAAAATTCTTAATTCTTCTAATTCTAAATAAACTAAAAATTAATATTCTTATAATTTTTAATATTTTTTTATGATTTTTTTCGAGATCAACCGAAAAATGCACATTTTAAATTTGGTCATCAGGTTAGCACACATCATTTGTTTTTAATTTTGATAACCGTTTCTAATAAGAACTTATTTTTAAACTCGTATATGTACCAAGATAATTTAACTATTCAAAAAAACGTCGTTATGAACTGAAATGTATTTAACTCAAAAACTCAATTTTAACATAAGCACCGAATACATTTCTGTTTTGTCTAATAAACTTTGTATAAATGTTTCTCTTCCTCTTATAAATATTTTATTTATTATAGTAATTTAAAACAAGAAAGGAATGCAATAGTCGAGCGGGCTCACTATTAAATACCCTAACATTTTTGTTAAACATCGATTTGTTTTTGGAGAGTAGATTAATCGTATAAAGTTAAATGCATACCTGAATTAATACATTATTACTTGAAACTGTCGCTGATTACGTCTTATTGCAAACGACAAAAAAATGTATTTTTCAGCTGTACGAATAGTTTAGGAGGCCACGCTTTTGGGAGGTTTCTAATCTCATTTGTTTTTTCAGAAGATTTGATTAAAAACACTCACAAAGACATTTTTCCAAATATAAATAATCATTGGAATTTCATTGGAAACCTTATAGTTTTTGTAAACAATCTTCATCAAAAATATTTTGCATATCCTATGTAAATATTAATAAATCAGCAAATTACTAAATGTATACTTAAAACACCACCATTCACACACAGCATCCAAAACAACCCCACCATAGTGATGCCCCATTGGCCCAAATAGAACATTACATTTTTCGAATATCACATTTTGCTGATTTTCTTGTGATTTAAACGAAAGTTAAAAATCTCTATATATATAAAACAGTTTGTCCTGACTGACTGACTGACTGACTGATTGGCAATCAACGCACAGCCCAAACGGTAAGAGCTAGGAAGCTGAAAATTGGACACATGTTGTCTTCAGTGGTGTAGGTGAGCACTAAGAAGCGGTTTTGGAAAATTCGAACGCCAAAGGGGGGAAAACGGGCTCCAACGTTTGTATGAAAAATCTACAATTTTCATCCAATTAACTTCAAACTTAGTTTGTATACTCTCAAAAAGAATACAAGAAAAACTGTATACTTGGGTTTTCACCATTTTTCCTGGGCATGAAAAAAGTGGGGTTTTCCGGGGAAAAATTGAAACACAATCAACACCCCACAGCCCAAACGGTAAAAGCTAGGAAACTGAAATTTGGGCTCAAGTATCCTATTATGGTGTAGATGCGCACTAAGAAGGGATTTTGGAAAATTCGAGCTCCAAAGGGGGGAAAAGTAGCTCCAAAGTTTGTTTGAAAATTTTGAATTTTTGCATTTTTGAATTGATCAACTTTAAATTTAGGTTTTATAATCTATAAAAGAATACAAACAAAACTGCATACTCGGTTTTTCAAAATTTGTGTTGGAGCTTGAATTATTGGGGTTTTAATATTTATTCATTTTTTCAAATGAAAAGTTTGTGTTATAAATTTTGTCAGATCGATTTCAAATTTGGGTAATATAATCTACGTAACTAAAATTACAACTTTGCATTTAACGATTTTTAAAATATGCATTTTACAAATGCAGGTAGAACAAACAATACAAAATATCAAACAGTTGGGGACAACTAAGTATACATACACACACACACACATACATACATACAAGCAGCTGTTCGTGTAGTTACGTGTAAACGGTTGAAGTAGCCAAAGCAAAATGTGAGACACTAATGTGTGAATGTTCATTTGTACACATGTATGTACATACATACATACATATGTATGTACAAAAGTACATTCGTCTTGCACTGACAGGGCAAGAAATGTTAATTAATTAAAAATTATTAACATTATAACATAAACATTTTTATGCTATTTTTTCTTTGTTTAGTACATTTGGCATAAGGGGTTTTTAGGACAATGGACTACAAGGGCGTACGCAGGTTGGGCAGGGGGGACATTTCTCCCCTTAGAAAGAATTTCGCATTATGAATTACGCCAGCACCATATGTATTACATACGTACATACGTCTGTATGTATAGCATGTACATATGTATGTATATACATCAATAAGTATGTATGTACGTTCATACATTCCTATATACATATATAGGTTTGTATGTACAAGTATGCAGTGGGCTATCGAACACTGTTGTTTAATTGTAATAAATAGTTTTCTATGGTTTCAAATCAAAATTTTTAAAACAACAACAACAACTTCAAGTTATTGGCTCGCAAATCTTCTTTCGTTTTGATCATTTACGCCTGTTCATTACATACGCAAAATGCCAAAAGTTTACAGTTACAGTACACATACAAATAAATTTGTATGTATGTATGTGTACAGTGTACATTCGAATACAGTATTATAATCAATAACTCTCAAACGATGTTTTTCGATGTATTTGTATTCGACATGTATTACGATATATCAACACAAGTATCGATATTTTCGATATATCGCATTTAATTTTATTATTGGGGTTTTAATATTTATTCACTTTTTCAAATGAATAGTTTGTGTTATATATTTTGTCCGATCGGTTTCAAATTTGGGTAATGTAATCAACATAACTATATCAACAAATTGGCATTCAACGATTAAAATATAGCAATATGTTTTTTACTTGCCATATATCAAATATCAAATAGTTGGGAACAGTTCGTGTCTATGTGTGCCCATGCATACATACATATGTACAAGCATATGTATCTATGCCTGTATATGTATGAAGCATGTAAATACAAAACAACAACAACAACTTCAAGTTGTTGGCTCGCTCATCTTCTTTCGTTTTGACCATTTAATGTTAATTGCAAAGGCAAAACGTCAAAAGTTTACAGTTACCGTCGCTAAGCAACGACTGCGTATGCGATAGTAAAGCAGAAACCGAATAACGGAGCTACGCATATTCTGCTTCGCATTGCGGGCAGATTTATGTATGTATATGATTTGTTCTTATCGATCTCAATAAATAATTAGATTTTATTATTTAAATATTCTGCTTATTGCATTCAAACTTCGATATTTTGATGGTATCGGTGGCTTCAACTATCGAAAGTTTTACTCTAGCAAATTGAGATGAGAATTGTCAGTGCTTTTTGATCGTGGCTCATCGCTGCACGGCATTGACACGAGTGCCGTGTTTCATATTCCGAGTTTGTGCGTGACCGTATTGACTCAAATGTGAATTTAAAATTAGGATATACCCTTATAATTATTCCCCTTTTTTGCACATAGTCTATCTTAAAACGTTGCGTTATCTCTATATATAAAACAGTTTGTCCTGACTAATTGGTGATCAACGCACAGCCCAAATGGTAAAAGATGAAATTTGGACTCAAGTATCCTTTCATAGTATCCATCATAGTGTAGGAGCACACTAAGAAGGGCTTTTGGAAAATTCTAGCTCCAAAGGGGGGAAAACGAGCTTTAAAAAATATTAGTTATAATGGTCATGTTCGTTTAAAGAAATAGTTTGGCAAGAACAAAAATGTAACGGACTACTGAACAATTTTTTGTCAAGAACAGAAAATGTTCATTTAAATACCTTAAATGCCTTCCTACTGGTAACTTATAAGGTGAAAACATATCGGTAGGTTATGCACACACAAAATAAATACAATTGGAAACATTATATTGAGCCGGGTTAAGACGGGCAATACCTGCTAGTCTATATATATAAAACAGTTTGTCCTGACTGACTGATTGGTGATCAACGCACAGCCCAAACGGTAAAGGCTAGGAAGCTGAAATTTGGACTCAAGTATCCTTTCATAGTCTAGGTTCCCACTAAGAAGGGATTTTGGAAAACTCGAGCTCCAAAGGGGGGAAAACACGCTCCAACGTTTGTATGAAAAATCTACAGTTTTCATCTGATTAACTTCAAACTTAGTTCATATACTCTCAGAACAATTCCAAGAAAAACTGTATACTTGATTTTTGAAATTTTTTTTGGAGCCTGAAATATGGGAGTTTTCCTGTACAAAAAATGGGGCACAAAAGGAAACCGCGTCAACAGCCCTCAGCCCAAACGGTAAGAGCTAGAAAGCTGAAATTTTGGCTCAAGTATCATGGTGTAGATGCGCACTAAGAAGGGATTTTGGAAAATTCGAGCTCCAGAGGGGGGAAAACGAGCTTCAAAGTTTGTTCGAAAAATCCGCATTTTTTAGCCGATCGACATAAAACTTGGTTTCTGAAATCAATAAAAGAATACAAAAAAAAAAAAGTAATTTTTTCTTTGTTTAGTGCATTTGGCATTAGGGTTTTCATTAATAACTTTATGAGGCAACAACAAATATCATTTAGTTGGGGACATCACATACACACACTCACACACACAACAAGCAACAGTTCGTGTCTATACATACATATGTATGTATGTATGTATGCCTGTGTATGAATATAGCATGTATGTACATTCGTATTAATGTATACATTGGGCAATCGAACACAGTTGTTTGATTGTAAAAAAAATAATGCTCTAAAAACAACAACAACTGCAAGTCATTGGCTCGCTCTTCTTCTTTCGTTTTGACCATTTAATGTTAATTGCAAAGGCAAAACGCCAAATGTTTACAGTCGCCGTCGTTACCGTCGCTAGGTAACGACTGCGTAAGCGAGAGTAAAGCAGAAACCGAATAACGGAGCTACGCATATTCTGCTTCGCATTGCGGGCAGATGTATATATGTATATGATTTGTTCTTATTGATCTCAATAAATAATTAGATTTTATTATTTAAATATTCTGCTTATTGCATTCAAACTTCGATATTTTGATGGTATCGGTGGCTTCAACTATCGAAAGTTTTACTCGAGCAAATTGAGATGAGAATTGTCAGTGCTTTTTGATCGTGGCTCATCGCTGCA